TATATATATATATATATATATATAATTTTGGACGAAAGCCCCTTGTCCGCCCCGCCCTGTGAGGGTGGGTCCCATCAAGAGAAATATTCTATTTGCTCCAGTAGGCAGCTGTTAGTTAATTGAGGAATTTAAAACGGAGTAGCTTAGCTAGAATAGAAAAGAAAATAGGAAATAATGGAGTTGGGGTCAACATTTCTGTTTCTTTGTTGATCTCTGGAGAAACACTAGCAATGGCGGATACAGCAATGGACTTTGTGATAGATAACCTGAAGCAGCTATTGCGTGAAAACACAGATCTAATTGGTGCGATTAGGGATGATGTTAAATCTCTACTTGAAGAGCTTCAGAATTTGCATGCCTTTCTCAAGCAAGCAACCAAGAGCCGCAGCCGCAATGAAATTCTGAAACATTTAGTCAAAGAGTTGAGCACAGCAGTCAACGAAGCAGAAGTTTGCATAGATAAATTTGTGATTGAGGCCAAGTTACACCAGAACAAAGGGATAAGAAAGATGTTCGATTTTGGCCATGTTATGAAAGCTAGACAGTGTGCAACAGAGATCAAATTCATCAAGGAGAAGTTGAAAGAAATTCGTAGAGAAAATGCTTATCACATTCAATTTGAAGATCATCAAAACGTCACTGATCAGGAACTGAGAAAGGTATACACAGACATCAATCAATACTATGACTTACCTGAGAAAACTAAAAATACATTGAAAGTTTGTTCCTCCTCTTAATTCTTTAAAAGTATATATCTCCTTTTCATTGAAAATTCAGAGTGACTAAAATCGTATTAGTTCCTGCTGTCTAGTTCCTTTAAAATGCATATTTTATTTTTTTCATCTTAGGTTCCCCTACCAGAGGAAGAGGATGTGGTAGGCTTTGATGAGGAGGCGGCTGAAATAATCAACCGTCTCTGTAAAGGATCAGATGATCTGGAGATTATCCCGATCGTCGGAATGCCGGGTCTTGGCAAAACAACTCTCGCAAATAAGATTTTCAAGGATGGTAGGGTTCAATATGAGTTCTTCACATGCTTCTGGGTATATGTCGCTCAATCGTACAATCGGAGAGAAGTATTTCTAAACATTATCAGTAAATTCACCCGAAATGTTAAACAATATGAATATGAGGCTGAGGAGGATCTAGCAAAAGCAATAAGGGAGCTTTTGGGGAAGGGCGGAAAATATCTGATTGTCTTGGATGATATATGGACATTGGAAGCTTTGAATGAACTCAAAATTGCTTTTCCCAATAACCATAAAGGTAATAAAATCATGTTGACTACTCGAAACAGCTCTTTGGCTAATAGTTGCAATAATTTCCCTCATAAACTAAAATTTCTAACAGAAAGTGAGTGTTGGTTGTTACTAAAAAAGAAGGTTTTTCGCAAGGATGAATGTCCCCTGGAATTTGAAGAACTAGGCAGGCTCATAGCTAGGAAATGTAGGGGGCTACCCTTAGCAACTGTTGTGATTGCAGGATGCCTAATTGGGAAATACACAAGAAGGGAGTGGGAACTAGTGCATCAATGTGTGGGTGAACACATCTTTAACAGAGATTATTCAATAACCAAGAAATTGGTGCAGATGAGCTACGATAGTCTGCCATTCAACTTGAAGGTTTGCTTCTTATATTTAGGTGCTTTTCCTAGAGGTTTCGAGATACCCGTCTGGAAGTTAGTCCGATTGTGGATCGCCGAAGGGTTCATTCCAGACCAAAGGCCATTAATCCTTGAAAGTGTAGCAGAGGAATACTTGAATGAACTCGTCAACAAGAACTTACTGATGGTAATGCAAAGGACTTCCAACGGCCAAACAAAAACATGTCGTGTACATGATATGTTACACGAGTTCTGTAGGCTTGAAGCTAGTGAAGAAAACATTTTCAAAGAAATAAAACTAGGCGTCGAGCAATCTTTCCCAAGAAACCAGGAATTAGCCACCTATCGCCGCCTTTGCATTGATTCCTCTGTTGTGGAATTCATTTCCAGGAAGCCTTATGGTGAAGGAATTCGGTCATTCTTATGTTTCTCCTCTGAGAAGATTACGAAACCCGCAGCTGAGGTGGGGACAATCCCGAAAGCCTTTCCACTACTCAGGGTTTTTGATGTTGAGGCCATCTTATTTAGTAAATTCCAGAAACAGTTTTTTCAGCTATATCTTTTGAGATACATCGCTTTATCAAGTGCCTCTTTAGCTTTCATTCCTAAATACATAGAGGACCTGTGGAATCTACAAACTTTCATAATTTCGACTCAACAAACGACTCTTCACATACAAGCAGATATATGTAACATGCCACAACTTAGGCATTTTCATACAAATACCCCTGCTAAATTGTGTCGCTCTGCCGCCATAGAAACCAACAAGCCTACCTCAGTACATGGAACTTTACAAACCCTTTCTACAATAGAGCCTGAAAGTTGCACGGAGTATGTGTTTGCAAGGTGTCAATATCTGAAAAAGTTGGGTATTCGTGGGAAAATAGAAGTGCTTTTTCAAGCCAACAGGGTTGGGCCATTTTTGAATAATCAAAATTTAAAATACCTTGAAAAATTGAAGCTAGTGAATGATCTCTCAGCAGGTGGGAAACTGCACCTTCGTTCAGAAAATGTATTCCCCAAGAGTTTGAAAAAGTTAACTTTGTTAGGTACCGGGTTGGATTGGAATGAGATGGGTAGACTTTGCAAGTTGGAGGTCCTTGAAGTCCTCAAGCTGAAAGAAAATGCATTTACTGGCGAATTGTGGGAGTCAATGGTTGACACTTTTCCATCTCTTAAGGTGTTGTTGATTGAAAGGTCAGACCTAGTTTCTTGGAAGGCATCTAGTGAGCAGTTTCCCAGATTAGTGAGGCTTGTCCTTAGATCATTACACAAGCTTGAGGAAGTCCCTATAGAACTTGCCAAAATACGCAACCTGCAACTGATGGAACTAGAGAATACAACCAAAACTGCGGCTGAATCAGCCCGAGAAGTAAAATCCTGCAGTGTGTGCACTGGATTCAAGCTATCCATCTTCCCTCCCGATCTCTGATTGCAACTAGTCAAATCACTTCCATCAGAGGTCAGACAATTGCTTTCTTTCTTGTATACAGATTTCAACTTCATCTGTTTAGAGATTTCTCATCTTAATTTCTAAGACATGCTTTTTTAATATAATCGTTTAGTGTTATAATTTTTCACTAAGTTATAAGTTAAAATGCCATTCCACCAAGAGAGGTGCTTAGCTTCTGTGGCATTGAAGTCCGAAATTAAAATTCTCAATAAGTTAAGCACAGAAATTGTGGATAGAGGCATTCATTAATGTTGTTAATTTAGTACTGGGAAGGCCCAAAGCCATGTGATTATTTTTTTTTTTTTTTTTTTTTTTTTTTTT